TAATGCCATTATTACAGCAGGAGGCACATGGGAGGCTATCTAATTTTCACAAATCGTGATCTCAGGAAGTTTTCCTGCAGTAAACAATTTATCACGAGTCCTTTCCTGTGTCATGATCGGGTGTCCCATGCTGGCCTTGATCTGGGGAGTTAAGAGTCCTCCAGAGAGCTTTGAAACTCAATCCTGTGGTCATGGCAAGCCGACTGTACATACCTATGCTGTAATGCCGCGTGGCTAACAACATTTGGAAAGACTCCTTTGTTTTTTCTCCACCCACCTCTGTCCGCGCTGTGTAATGCTATACAATAAGTGCACATGGCAATTGATTAAAACCTGGTCTCTGCTTTTTTTTGTGTCCTGTTGCGTGACATACTGTATTACAGTTGGCAAAGCAGCATCAAAATTCTTCAATAGTGGGCCAAGGTCTGCAGCAATGGCAGACTCCGTTTCATTTTAACTGCTTTTCAACTATTTGTCCTCAGTAGTGTCTATGCTTGTGACTCACCATTTCAGACACAGATTAAAGATGTTGTTTTTATACAAAACATTAGACTGCTATATAGCAGTAATTCATGTACCATGTAAGCAAGCCACAAATTGGTGATGTGCAGGTTCTATGGGTTTTTTTTTGGTATTGTTCAGCCACTTTTTTCTGTGTAGTATAGGTATTACATGCCAGGTATCCCTAAGCTGTCTGGAATTGCTGACCTGCTGAGGTGATGAAGCTAACCCTACAGCTCAGCTCTGTCTGTGTTTGACTACTTGCCCATAGCCCTCTCACACCACCACTGTACACACTCCTCTTGCAGCAAAACCTGCTTAAATCCCCCACTGTCTTCACCTGTATGAACAAAGCTACCGTTGTCCAAACAAGTCTGCACGAGCTTGTGAATTGGAGACAGATGTTTGGGTCGGCCCTGAGCATAAGTCCATAGATCAGTGTTATTTCAGCGAGCACCGCACGGGTGTGGAGAGCCAGTGTGAGAGAGAGATATGTGGGGCTGTGGTCAGGAAGCCTTGACCCCAGCAAAGAGTTTCATAGTGAATAGAAAACCAGATTGTCAAGTGCGGCAGTAAATCCAGTAAAGTCCACCTTTTGAAAAAACACAAGACAGACAAAATACTGCACACAGAATGGCGGATGTTTACAACATGAGCATTGTACAGTGATCAGTTCAGCTCTTGTTCGGGATACAGACTGTAGTATAGCAGGACGCTGTATTTAATACAGTTTACAAATTAAAAGTTTCAACTGTGTTTATCACGACGTAGGGGATTTTAAATAAAGTCATTATCCAAAAATAGCAATGAACACAAAACAAACATCCGTTTCTCAAATTATTCTTTTCTGATCATCCAGTAAACTGCACGAGTCAGCTTTAATGATTTGCATTTAATACAGTTGTCAATATTTGTGAAAGAAGAAATAAAATACATAAAACAATAATATATTCAATATGATTGAAAATCCAAGCTAATTCTCTTGTGCGTTTAGAAAAATAGTTACAATGTTGCTAATGTCACAAAATGAAAAAGGAACATTGGAACTACCCTTCGGGAAGGCCTCTCCAGTCCTGAGAGTCATGTGTCACCAATTCATTATTTTATTGTGTCTTTGGGGTAAAAAAAATGTGTGATTGTGATGGGAATTCACATTTCATGAAAATGGCACTATGTAGGTTAAGAACTGAGCAGCATACAGCCTGCCCAGGGGCTGAGACAGGAGACTCAGAGATTCACACTCAACTGGCTTCTTCTTTCAGCCTGTGGTGTGCAGAATCCAAGGCGTGAGGTCTCTAAGGTGACCTCAGTGAACGCTGGGAGGCACCTGGTGAATTTGTCGACAGATCACCCCCAGCTTCTTTAGACACACCGTCGAGAACAGCGAGAAGAGAGAACAGCGATCTCTGTGCTGGCTGTAGGCTCCACACATGCCTTTCTATGCCAGAATACTGGGTATATTTGTGGGAGCCACTAAGGAGCTAAGCAGATTGTTTTCATCAACCTTATTCACAATCAGACATACATCCTGCTGCCAGAAAAACAAGCAAGCTTATTTATAATCTCCATTTATTAAGCATTTCTAATGTATCCCGAGCCTCTACCATTCAAACCACTGCAACAGCAACTGAAAGTTGTGTCCCTGTTTTATTCACACCTTTGGTTTTCATTTAATTTGACACATTTGCTAATTAAAGTTGTGCTGATTTATTGTTCACGGCCTCTCTGCAGAACAAGGCTGAGCCAAGAATTGCACGCTGTTAAACATCATAAGTGGGAAAAAAAGGTTTATTTGTTTTCTTTGTGCTTGCAATTTTTTTTCCCGCTCATTCTAAGCAGGGCATTCACAGAGTTGTTCAGTGGGAGAAGGCGTAAGACTGTCATCTGGCAGATTTGCATACATCAGATTGTAAAAATATTTCTTGGCACAAACGCATAATGACTTTCGCATGCTTTATTGTTGAACATGGAAGCTCATTAGAAACCACTCACATGGCAGTCTTAGCTAGAACTGCAGTAATGGATGATGTGCTCCCAGAAAATAATACAGTTTCTCTATAGAAACTTTTCATACCCTCATTATAGGAAATTAATTTTCTACACTTTAGAATGACTTCCAGACTACTGTTATAATAGTAATAATAATTATATAATTATAACTGACACTCCTGCGCTTGGAGACAGAAATACATGGCAAGCAGTCAAATAAATAAATGTATAATGTCGCCTATTGGAAGCACCTCGAGTGACAGTGAATCTTCTTAGTAGGAGTGTGAAGTCCGGCACACATGGGTTATTACCAGTTGTCCAGCTCAGACTGAAAGCAGCAACCGTAATATACTTGTGCTGGATCGACACATTTTTTAGATATAATCGGGGAACGCAAATTGTATGAGTTTTACTGTTGAGACAAGCAAAATCTACAGCTCTCACAGACACGCACCAAAAAAATCTTAGCATTAGAAATTTCATGGGTTATTACCCACATGCTGCAGGTAAAAGAGCTTGTGCTGTTAATATAGTCATTTTCCTGCATTGGGGCTGGGTAGCCTGTGTATAGCAAACATTTAGTTTCAGTCTTGGAAAACCATTTCCTGGTTTGTAGCTCCCCAAGACAATCCGCTCTTCTGCTTCCAGAATCGCTTCAGGTCAAGATGCCGACAGCGCTGTCGACTTTCTCCGACAAATCTGGTGTATTCCCCACCGCATGTCTCTAAGAATTTCCCTCCCCTGTGTATCGCTTCATTCCTCCCCATTCTTTGCATACTATCGTCTCCACAGAGGGCCACTGCAGAGGTGGCCATAATCTTATTTTGAACTAAAACAGCACTTGTGTTCTGCAGCCCCCCACTGCACTGCAGCCTTCAGTCTTGAAGGCTCTGGGATGATGTCCGCAAGAGCACGCTGGAGCGGTGTGGTCTGCGATGCTCACTGTCGAGGGCTGTATGCGAATTATTCTGGAGGCTTTCCCCAACAAAAAAGCCTGGGGAAGGAGGGAGTGATGAAAACAGGGCAGTTACAGCAGTTTCATTGTTAAAAGGAAAACCTGGTCCAGGAGCTCCGCTGTCCACTCAGATCGGCAGCAATGAAACAACTTCTTAAAAATAAACTGCACACCTTAATTTTCAGCTCACTTAAGGATACCGTACATTTTGTTGTAATGATAGATAATATGCATCGTGTATAAATTAACAAAATTCTATTATGGAATTAGTCGCCATGAAAGTGGGAGTACTTTGTGTTACTGAGCTTAAAAGTTTGGATCAGCATTTATGACTACATGTTAAGAATTCAAAAATCTGGTAGTGAAACTAAAGGCCTCATTTTCTTTACAACTCTTCCACATTACAGTACGTATCTCCGACCCACGCCGGGGGTGTAACACATCAGCGACACAGGTGATCAGCTCTATAGGACTGTCCTCTACTTTCTCCCTTGCGAGATCCCGAGGTCATGGAGAAAATTGAACAGTCTTGACAGACTAGTTGTCCATTTGGTCTCCTTGTTGTTTCTGCCATTTCCTAAGGCATGACCCATGTGTCTTCAGGTTTCGTCAGGGGTTCTGTGTTGACAGATCTCTCAAAGTCCTGATACGTTCATCAGTAGAAATGCTGGCCTCCGAGGTCCTGGAGAGAAGACTTTATTGCCTATGACCTTGCTCTGACCTTCTAATGCTACTGTACAGCAGCGTCTGGATCTGTTTAAACGCAAGAACACATTCCTATAAGGGGGGTTTTGTTGTTGCTTTTGTGAGAAACAAGGTTGCTTTTATTAAAACACATGTTTTGGTATGTAAGAGTTGCTAATTGCACCAATCCTCATGTGAAACTCATTTGAAAATGCGAAAAACATGTTTTGGCACATTCAAAATAAAATTAGGAACTGTAGTGCTTTAAGAATTTAACAAAAGAGGAGGTCTGTGCAGTGAAGCAGTACGTTCCGTCCCGAGATTGAATCTTGAAACATTTTACATTTTAAATCATGCAAGTACTAAGTATGAAGGCAAGGCAGATCTTGCCAACATTTTAAATTCCATCTCTCACCTCAGCTGTGTGTACCAGTGACAAAATTGGAAACTTTCTGCATGACTGGTTTGAATTCACCAGGCATGAAACTGAAGTGTGCTCACTTCCTATTAGCACATATTGATAAAATGTCCTCAGTACTTCCACATATTACCAGGGCATGAGAGCACAAATGCTACAGTGTGATCTCACAATTTCTGTTAAAATCTCAGATTACCACATGTTAACTACTTCATATTATGTAAGCCAGTTTCTACTAAACATTTTTAAATATTTTAATTTTTTACAAAGATTCTATTCTTCCAATTGCTTTTGTTTTTCAAAACCAGCATTAGCAGGCATTACTTGTTACTTTAAACTGTGGGGCGATATAGCGCTAAAACAATAGCATAAGGCAGATGCATCCATCCTGAATTATCCATTTAAAACAAATGTTTTTTTAAATGTTTTAAAGGATTCAGACATACATATCTCTAAATCTCTGAAATCCTTTTATTAATCTCCCAGATAAACCATAGAGCTTCATGGTAGCATTAATATTAATGTTACAACAAAGCTAAAGTAATTGTGGTTTTGAACTACTGCAGTACAATTCCAGTAATGTTATTTTTAGTAGATTTGTGCTTGATGTCAAGTCTATTAAAATTATTTTAAACCACAAGCATTTCATTTCACAAATACAGTACATTATCAATCCTTTTTCTTGTATACATCAAAAATAAATATATGTATAACCAAAATAACTATGGAAAACGCTGAAGTTTATAATTAGAAAAACTCTTGCAGCATGCGTATCTCTGTCTTATATTGTTACAACAATGCATTTTAAAGTACAATGATCACATACAGCCTATAACTGTGCTTATAATTAAATCAAGTGGACAATTAATCGCACATTACAGGTTGATCAGCAGTTAGGTTTCAAAAGTCATCTACATCTGTGAAGGGTCAAGCTGCAGCAGCAGACAGCAGCTTCTCTGTTACTGAAAATGTCTGCTGGCACTGTGAGAGCATTCAACCTTTTTGATGCTGTACTGGTGATGCTTCCCAAAACATTTCAGATTTGAGTTATAAAATTCAGCCCCTGCATCTACTCAGTCACAATTATTTACTTTGACAGATGTCCATCCTGCTACTCTGGATGTCTTTCTCTGGAGTCTGTGCTTTCTATAAAATCATGGATACCACAATTCTTACCATTGTGCCCTGCAAAGGTCGGGATTCGGGTCTCCTTCGCTGCTCTTCACTGTTCATTGAGAACAACAGGGAAAAATAATTGTCTCTGTAGGTCTCCTTTGATTATGTTTTTATCTGATAGTGGAGTGGAGCTGGAAGGGATAGAGCTGAACTGAAAACACTTTTGTTAGGTGTCTTCTACTGCTTCTCACTGTGTCTTCACCATATAACACCTGACCAGCAAATCTTCTTTCTTTTTGTACTCGATTTCGTTTTTCATTAAGATTTGTTATGGTAGATATAGAGATTTTAATTTTTCTTCATTTTTTTATCACTTTATCCTGTCACTTCTGCCATTAATGAACATTGCCTGTTCTGTGTATTCAAGTTACAAAATAAAGGCAAATACAAAAGAAAAGCTGTCTGAATAATTCCCTGCAAAGCACTCCGATGTTCCATGAGCTGTCGCGTGAACATGTGAGATAAGAGGGAAGGAGTGCAGAACACGATAACATCTAAATCTCACCTTGTTTTTCACACAGCAACTGCAAACAACACTGCAGCGGGAAATATCACTTATTTTGGATGTGTAAATAAAAATGCACGAAAATAGCTTTTGCGTGGTACATAATTATTGCAGGTGAAATATTTCATATTATTGATGACTTTATTCTAACAGAGGATCTCAAAGGCCTTTCCTCAAATATTGATTTATTTCTTATCACATGAATACATCTGCCAATTCGAGTGTGTTTGAGATTCTCAGTTGACTATAGAAACATAAAGGTCACTAACTTAAAAATTTCAGTCATCCAGAAGACTGACTCCTCTAACTCTGAACACTGACATTCATTGGGTTAACCAAGAATTAAATATGTTTACAGAAACTGTACCTCTTACATAGTTGGCATATCTTACAATCTATGTATTCATTCCAACTATTTACATTATCAAACTCTTTTAATCCCTTAAACTCCCTTTTAACTCTCATTTAATCCCTTTGCTTCTTTCCTTGTATAAATCTGATTAAAAAATCCACACAACACTTTCTGCATAAGTCAGTTTGCTGCCTTAGTTCCTGAACTGGTAACTTGAACCACATGTGCATCTTAAAGAACAGTTGAGCATCTCTATCAGTACAAACTCAGAAAAGGGTGATTTTTACATTTGCAGCAACTAGTGTTTTACAAATAAGTGAAATGAACTTATTGAACTTCAATTCCCATTGAAGGCAATAGGAATTCCCAAGGCATGGGAAGGCAATTTCCCATTGAATCTAAAAAACATAAATAACTAAAGTCATTGAGATGAAAAAAATAGAACAGATCCTCAGGACAATAGGCAACAAACAAATTCAGAAGATCACATGCCTGGTAATCTTTCTTATATTCTTGAATGCATATTTTTCATGACTGTATCGATCTGTGGTGTTTATCATGTTTATCATATCTTCTACAATACAAAATTCATCAGGTTTACAGTAAGGTAATCCTGAAGTGTTCCTGAAACAGCAGCACTACAATAACACATTACCTTAATACATTCATTCCTTTGCGCGGTTTATTTTAAACAGTCCTGGAGCGTTGCTACAATCTGGGGTAAAATTTTGTCTCGATTGTCCTTGGTAACCTAAAAAAAATGAAATCAATTGTTAACAGCTAATAATTGTACGGAGCTATGCCAATGGATCCTTCTTGCTGTCCAGAACAGATAAAGCATTTCAAACATGAGCCACATCCCTGAGATAAATTCCTTCTGTCATGTCTGACTGTGACCTCAAAATGAAACATGACAGCGAACATGTATACACTCTGCAGCAGTACAACAACATTCAAGATACACAGAGCATGATAGTGGCAGCACCTTGACCCTGGATTATCATCATCTGTCCAGTGAAGCAGTTGGTTTTATTTTGCATTTCGGCCTGAATATATCCAGATAGCCTGCATACCTGCATAAGCTAACTATGCTAGGACATTCAGGCTCTGCAATCAGGCCTGGTCCACAGTTCTCTTTTAATATGATAAAAGATAATAATTTGATATTTTAATATGCCAAGATCCAGGTTTGCATTTGGAGGTCTCAGTCAAACAAAATCTTCCAAATTAAGAATGGTTATGCTTGGAAGAAACAGGTGACACTGTGTCATTTCTGGACAATTTCTTAAATAGCCATCACCAAACAGTTTCAACGGAATTAACCTAACAGACCTTTGTTTTGACAATGAGAAGACCTTAAGGATTTTGTAAATAACTGTAAGAAGCCCAGTGCTGTCTTAAACAAGCCAAAGGCAATGAAATGCTGTACTCACAGTAAACAACTTCACATCGCTCCTGTTTCTTACTTCCTCCACAAGCCCTAGCGGCTTTCCTTTAGGGATGGGAATAGTGCCCAGGATCACAAATGCAGGACTGTCCAGAGTCTGGCGCACAGCCTGGATAAATGAGTGGCTGAAGAGCTCCATCTTCCCAATCTCATCGATGACAAAGACTCGTTTCCCACTGCTGCTCCTGGAGCCTTCCTGTGCATCATAGAGGAGAAGCACACACCCTTTTATTTTACTTTATCTAACAGCCCATCCATCCATCCATCTCTTACCCATTTTATCCAATTCAGGGCTGCGAGGGAGCCGAAGCCTATCCCATCAAGCAATGTGCGCAAGGTGGGATGAGATGCCAGTTAATCACAGGGAACACACAGACACGCACACATTCACACTCGGGCCAATTTTCCTAGAAGGCATTTCACCAACCAGAATGTCAGAAAATGCATTATAAGGAAATGCAATCCATCTTAATACCTCCATTTCAAGGCAGAATGCTTGGTGTGCCACCAATTAGTACAAATTATGGAACACCCCTTGACTAAATGAGTTGGAGCGCAGAAGTATTTAATATCTAATTTGAAAAGGAGGCTTGAATGAAATTGCACTAACTGGGATGATCAGAATACACCTGTGTCAAATGGGCTAGACGGTAAGCTAAGATTGAAAGACCAAAGGTTAATAGAGATGAAAATGAAATGCAAAAGATGCGTTTTATTTTTTGTATTTTAAATTGTGCTGCATGATGATGTCTTGAACAAGCACATTTTGCACAATTATTTCTCTTTACTGTAGATGGACCATAATTCAGTTTACTAGCAGACTAATATTTCAGGCATTCAAAGCATTGGAACAGAACACATCTGAAGTAAATCTATACATTTGTATGCTTTTATCAGTGTGTAATCATTAAAGATCTGCAGTGTGATTAACCTCAGCCGTCAGCACAATACTTTTTCATTGTATACATTTTTTTACTTAAATACAGGTAACTTTTTACATTTAAACTGAGATTTACATAAACATCTATACTGTATATAGTAAATATATTTTTAGATTAATCACATTTCATTTTCTGAATGCAAATGTGCATTAAATATAATTTTCTTTCTACAAATAGTCAAATTTTCATCCTTCTTGTCAAACAAAATACAATTTTCACTCATTGTTCAAAGACATTTGGTCTTTTCCTTGTGAAAAAAAAACCATGTGAATACACATATTCCACGAACAGATTACAGAACATAACAGACTGTGACAACTAATTTGAACTTAATGGTGCATTATTTAGAGGTGGTGTCTTTTCATGAACTCAGAAACCACACTAAAGGAACATAAGAGTCTAAAAAAGGTTACAAATGAGAGGAGAATGCTTGGTCCAACTAGTCCGACTGGAAGTTAGTAGCTAATTGATCCAAGGATCTTATCCACTCGTTTTTTGGGTATCAGCTTCAACTACAACATTGGGTACCTTGTTCACTCTTCCACAATCCTCATAGTAAAGAAGAGCCAGAAGAGCCCCTTGTTCTCTAATTTAAATGCACTTACCTGTAGTTTCCACAGGCTCTTGTTTCACAGTTCATTATGAAGAGATCTTCTGTGTTGACTTTGTCAATGCCTCTAAGTATTCTGAATACTTGTAGTGTTTGATATGTAGATTACAGTATATTCAGTAAACTCATAGCTACTTGTTCAGGTTTATCCTGAAGGCACTCTCATGCAAACTTGCGGACTCACTGATCTCTATGTGTGTTAACTTGAACACGGTCCACAGATGTCACATAAAACAACAGCAAATCATCAACCCCATCAGTGTAAAACTGCAAGAAAGCCTTCTTTTAAAGAAAGTTTACCCTTCACCTTTTTTCCCATTCAGGAAATGTACTATAGGTTGATATAGAAGACGTCCAGGCTTACACTTACATTTCTAAAAAGAGGAAGTGCCAGGTTTTCAAAAGAAGGCAAATCCACCACATACTGCCCCACGGTATATTCCCGTCTGCCAGCTGACCTCCCTGAACCACTGCTGAAAAGAAAAGGAAAATAAGGAATGCTCCCAGTGATTAAAAAACAGAAAGAGAGATGCGTTTAAAAGCAGCAAATCAGCAGTACCCAATTCTGGACAGGATTCCTCGTTGCCCAGAGAAGGTGACAACATCAAATCCAATTCTCCTCCCTCCTTCTCGGACCTCTTCCGTGTAGAAGCCATCCAGGACAAAGCCTGACGTCTTCAAAAGTTCGCTGGCTTTCTGAACCAAGGTCGTCTTTCCAACACCTTAAAATCCAGGCCACCCAATCAGGAAGGAAGATTTTAAACAAAAACAGGATATTTTAGTAGTTATAATAGTTATTATAACTGCCTGAATGAAACAAACCACAAAGCTGAGATGATGAAATAAGTATATGCAAACCCTGGCCTGCTTCTGTGATCTGAATTTTGGATCAAAATTATTCAATGGTGCATTAGATTACGAAATGTGAAATTTGAAATACAAAGCTGAGTGCTCCCTACTGGCCCCACAAACACCTCTTCCAGCAGCAACCATCCAGGTATTGGTCAGTGGGCTGCCAGTTGTGAGCTGCAGGGTGATATGGCTGCTGGCATATGCCTTGGTTTATGCCTTTTAAGTACTCTGGATATTACATGCGTTATGAAAAACCTAAATAAATGCAGGGGATGACAAACATTATTGCATTGGACTGATATTGACATTGGAATATTGCTAGTATTGCATGCATTGCATTGTGTGTTAATACTGTAGAATCTTATCCATAAAATCCATAAAACGACATTCTTACATACATTAATACATTATATTTGTATGCCTGTCTGCCTATATTGATTTCTCTGTAAGCTTTTAAAAAGACTCATGAAATCCTACCATAAAATGGGCACAGACAAATTTAGTTTTTGACTTTAATGAGACCCCAAGCTGCCTGTGCATATGAGTAAGCAAATTCGGAATTCAATACAAATGTTCTGAGCTCAATCAATAGTTCATCGGGTTACCCATCAGAAGCCCTAATCATCAGTGAGCTGAACAGTAGTACAGGATGTACAGAGCACAATGTACCTTTTAATGCAGCGGATAAGACTACTCTCAACTATCTGAAAACTAACTTTTCAAAATGATATTCCACTACATTGAATCAGTCCATTTGAGCAAAGTCACAATACTGTTCCGACAATCCTTTAAAAGAAAAAACTCTGCTCTTTTAATACATGTACTACAATAATTACTTTATTTTATGGAACGCTCATTGAATCTGTCCTAACATACACTGTGGTGGCCTGGTTTGGGAACCTTAACACATACAATACAAACAATACTGAGCAGAACTGTGAAGGTAGCCAGCAGAATTATTGGAACACAATAGCTACAGCTTTCAGACATCTATGCCAAACAAACAGTGCAGAAGGCCAATATAATCACTGACTGCCCTGACCACCTCCTGCACAGTGAATTTGTGCTCCTTTCATCTGGGCGTTCCTAGTGGACTGGACTTCCTGCTATTCCCACTGGTATTAACCTTGACAGTTGACTGTAGATTGACTGTAGATTCTACTTTATTTCTATATTGTTTTCTTCCTCACTGTACATTTATATCTCTTATTTGTTTATGAGTTCATGTTGTGGTACATGTATTGTGTATTGTGTTATGTCTTTTACCTGCCTGCAAAGCAAATTTTCCACCTCCCATCTGCGACAATGAAAGGAAGTTAAGTAAAACAAAGCTTACTGAGGTAATAATTACATCACTGGGCTCAGAACGGAACTTAGACAGCCCTCTTAAGTCTGCAGAAGAATGCACCTCATACAAGCAAAAACATTGGAAGTACTTTTATAGGCACCACAGGTGAAAACGATAAACAAACATTTAAGATGGAGACCAAAAAGACATAAATAGGGGTGATGTGACAACTGTGAACTTTTTACATTACAGCTCATTCAACTGTGAGAAAGTCACAGGATATGAGGGTAAGGCCTAAGGTCTTTAAAGGTAATCTTACTGTCAAGACCTGATAAGAGTAAAAACAGCAGCAAAAGTGCAGATCTGTATTGCGATGCCAATCTATCACGCTGTCTACAGCAGTTATGCTGACTCTTATCTCCAGCAATGATCAGATTTAGGTGACTGGCAATAGCCGTGAATAAGGGAGAAGGGAGTGAAAAGCAGGAATTCTAAAAAACAAGGTAATATAATCAATGCAAAAAATACAACTAGTTCGATTTCATTAAAAAAAACAACAAGTCTGACATATCAAAATCTGCTTTATATTCTTATGTCTATTTGAGAACCCCTTAGACAAACTGCACTTTTCATTATATATTTGTTTTACTCTTGCTGGGGGGTCTAGCTCAATAATTATGTTAACCCTTTACGATAAACCTCAGAATGTTCTCGTCGAAGTTAAGAGCAGCTCGCCACACGACAGGGAAAGTCTACAGCTAAATGGTTCCCTAAAGGGGCGCCGACAGTCGGTTAATGCTTAAATATAAGGGCAGTAAAACACTTTTCACGGAGCTGAAATACAACAATAAAACATGCAGTTTAGAAATGAGTGCACGAAATCCCTCCAGCGACGAAAACCTGTTTCAGCAGCTGGAGAGAAAGCACGTGTTCAGTTATAAACACAGTCCCGCAGTCCGGCCGCACCACTGAGCAACCGTACGTAAAAAGATATTACCAAACACTAGCCTTTTTTAGTTTGTTTTGTAGCAAAAAGAATCATGAACAAATGATTTCAGAACCCTCAATACAATTTCTGTAATAAATATCCGCTTGTATACCTTATATAGCTGAAGGAATTAAGTTCGGGATCATACTAATCCAATAGCATACGGAATTCCTACTTAAATTGTGATATGCATGCCTTGCACAGCTGTTGTTAAAGTCGCGGTAATAGTTACCAGGAGGTCCTGTCAGAAAAACGTGTTTAAACATCGTTTCATGCGTCTGAACTGAGCTCCAACAAGAGATCCCTGCTCCTTCCACTGCTCTACGTCCGCACGGGCGGAGGAAGGACCGCGAGTCACGTGAAGCAAGTCGCGTTCCATAGGTGGGCTGAAAAAGCACGTGACGGGCGCAGGTTTGTGTTGTATACTGTATGCCGCAACGGTGCGTCACCTACACTAGGACAGGCAGCGAAATGTATTTTCGCTGAAAAGTAGGAACCAGACGTACGATGTAAGGAGGCCGGAAATCTCAAGAACCCAGCATTATAATAGATCTACCATTCCTCTTTTGTTTTATGAATCTACATCTTTCTGTAGACTCCGTAAATCCGACTGTGACACATGTTAATAAATTATGTGTATTTCCTCGTTTCATTTTCAAATACATTTTTCATTATACAAGATGAAAAAGACACAAAGCGCTACGATGAAGAGGTGTTATTTTTAAAAGCATGTCAAATAAATAGTTTAACTCCAAAGCACACGATGGAGTGATACAGCTCCCTCAGATGGTGAAGCTATTTCAGCATTACTTATCTTCCTAGGAGAACGAAAGTTCAGGGTCAATGGACGTCCTATAACTTCATACGCAGCTGCATAGGAGGTGAAGTATTTCTGGAATTAAGCAGGTCTCTTATCTAAAGACCGTCTTGCTAAAATGATAAAAGTATGCCCTGCCAGCACAAAAGGAAAAAATTCAGGAAAGTGATCTGATATACACTGAGTACAGGACCCATTGTAATCTTTCATCTACTGTATACCAGGCATGTGGAGAGAAGTCAGTAAGAGGAATATTTTTTTTATTTAAGACAGGAAAATAAATCTTCTATTTATAATGACCTCAAAAGAGCAAAACACACAGAAACACGAGTCGTGTGTGTGTGTTCCAGGCTCCTGGTAAATTTGTAAAAAAAAAAAAGATTTTAAAACTTATTTTTTTAAATAAAAAGTCCTACTCCAGTCCAGTAAACGCCGAAGACATCTTCCCAGGAAACAGAGCTCACAGATGCTTTCAGTAAGCCTCACAAACTGAGACAGCCGCCTGGCCTCTCTCGCACAACACCCGCCAGGCTGAGACACAGAAGATGGCTATCAATAGCATAGGTCATGCTTGGCTGAAAAGTGTCCTTAATACTCATTTTAGAACAGATGGGCTGAAGCGATGTTAGTCACAGCCCTATAGTTTATTACTGAACCACATTTCAAACACATGCTGCAAGAACCCATTCTGTTGCAGTCCTACATCACAGCCTTGCCAAAGAAACAGTACCTAGACGACGTTTGTGTGACTCTATATATTCGATATTTTTTTAGTTTTTACCCCTACCCTCAACAACTGTTACATTAAAATTAGACATTTGCCACAAAACTATATGGTCAACACATATTGTGCCATAATTCAGCCATTATTTGTGTGGGACAGGGCAATCATTATAAGTTTTGAATATACTGCATCACCCATTGTAATCTTCATTGTATCTAATGCATCAATTGTGTGAAATGCAAAACAGGTTCATTAGAAAGTATTTCTTTTACTATTACAATTAAGTGCAAAGTCAAAATCTGAAAAGTGTTTTATTTACACATCGTTCACATTTTATCTAAATCTGCAGATTAGAACTTGTTTCAAAATTCTACTGTGTAAAACAAAAGTTGAATTTATTCCCCACATAAAAATGCAAAAATAAAGAAAATGTATTGTTTCAGAAATACCCTATCAGTTTCTCATGAGGCAGAGAGATGAAAGGTCAGCCTTTGGAGAATTGTCAGCTGCTGTCCATTTTTCAGTTATCAGAGCACAGATTATATAGGTTGAATAGAGAGAATTGTCTTCTGACATCTTTCCCAGAGAGTTATTATATATACACGCTGTGAATCATAAGTGAAAAACAGTTATCCTTTTCAAATATGCTTATTGTAAATGCATGCAATTAAAAGAACCATGGAATTAAGCCATCAGCATATTTCGGTATACTACCTGTGGCATCTTACTTAGATCTTACAGCTACAGGCAAAATTCCATCAAAAATCCTGGGCCAAATATAGTGTAATAATCTATTAAATCTTATTAAAACTGCTAATAGACAAACTCAATTCTCAGTTCTTTTGGCAAGAAAACATTTTAGAATGGAAATCTTCAGGTCATTAAAGTTGAATGCTAAAGCCATTTCCAATATAACCTTAAGGTGTTGACCAATAACATTTTCTTGTTTATCCCATTCTTGCAAATCCTGTATTTACAAATAAAGTGTATTCTCACCAAACTGTATGATTAACCCGCTGCATAGTTCAACTGTTCCAAGAGCAGACATTAAAGAAACAGGAATGGGAACATCCATCCATTCAGTATCAGAAAGCCACTTATTCCTGGTTTAAGGATCGTGGAGCCTTTCCCTGGAAACGGAGGTCACAATACAGCACTGGAAGGACACACGCTTACAGGGAAAGTTCGAGACAGCGTTTAACTAGCCAGCATATAGAAACCAGAGCACTAGGAAAAAAACATAAGAGGACACAGGGATAACCTGCAGACTCTACAGTGGAGATGCCCCAGTCTGGAATCAAACCCAGGACCCAAGGCCTGCAAGGCTGGACTGCTGTCTTGCCACTGTGCTGGCCAGGGAATAACAAAACGGCAAAGCAACACATTTTAAAATGTTGTTAGAAAAGCTTTAAAGCTCAAGCCCAGCCAATGTTCAACAAACACATGTTTTCCACAGAAATGTAGGAACTTCTTTACACCCGAAAAACGTAATGATTAAATACAAAATTTACAACACTCAGCATTGCATCCAGAACTAATTTGTGTATTTGGAGTAAATTTATGTCAATCCAAGATATACAATTATCATGTTTGCATTGTTTCATGAAATATTGCAGGATTTGGGGAAATCAGAATTGTCAAAGCACACTGGTGCAGTGACTGAGCGTGTATTGAGTCTTACCTCTTGCTTGCTTCCAGGTTATACCAGTCAATGTATCTAAGCTACAGGTGTGATTATGTCAACAGTAACTCTTTGTACAACACATCTTCTAGAAGGCAAATTATTCTCTGACTAGTAACATTTTTGATTTTTATTTAACGAGATGTAATTTCATTGATCACCAGATACCTTCACAAAAACATTAATGCTTTCAAAATTAGACTTGTCCTCTATGGTCTAACAGCCTGAAGCACAACAGAATACTCTTTCAGTATTTCCCTACTCAGGGTGCATGACCCAGTCAGGATTTTCAGCAAAGTGAGTTTGGTGTAGTGTTTGATGCTTTCAAATGTTTTTTTTTTTAAATAAAAAAAACATTATATAACTTTTACTTAAAAATGTAAGCAACAGTAATCAGTGCATAAATGGTATTTGTACATTCTGTGTGATTTTTGTTTCAAAATCTCCATGGATCCAAGACAAACGCCCAAGTCTTTTTTCCAAGTAAATAAAAACAACATTTAAGAATTTCTTTTAGATTCTACCCGAACTGCGTGAAGCCATGAATACTTAAGAAAATTAATATCACTACATTTTATTTCTAATATTATTTGATTAAATGTCAATAACTACTACCTTTGGGGATTCTGTAATTAAAGTCAAATTGGAGAAAATAGTTCTGGAAGAATAATGGTGTCAGAAGATATGCATGAAATCAGCAGAGACCTTTCACAGTGTGTAGCCAGGGAGCTTGTTGACCACGAGTTCTGAAATATGATGGTACTTGTTTTCAAAATCTAAGGAGCCAAGCTCATCTCTTGCCTCCTCTTCCTCATGGAGTTCACGTGATGCGACTTCATGTCCGATGAATTCCAGGTCAGTGTCGTTAGTGGCTACTGGGCTCCCTAGAGAGTCACTGATTGAGTAGCTTCCTTCAAAAGATCCGTACTGCCTCCCGGAGCCTGGTAAAGTTTGTGAATCAAATGTTTCCTTGGCAACAATGTTAAGAGATCTAGGGGTTCCCCTGTCATCGCCCGGTTGTTTAGAATCAACTGAAACGTGCTCACTGTCCTCTGTGGACTCAGTGATGGCTGGTGTCCCCTGGCGAGGCCGGGTGACTCGTGTGCCTTTCAGAGACAGTTTAGGAGAAGAGTTTGCTCTAATGGGAAGAGGAACGGCAGCTCTTTGACTTCCAAAGGAACTGCTGTTTGAGCTGGAGCCTTCATCCGAACAGTCTTCCCTCGGAGCGGCCAGAGCAGGTTCACTGCCGTTTTTAAGCTCTGCAGAGTGGCAGTCGGAAGGTTCAGGACCAGAAAAATCTTCCACATATTCAAGGGGCTCAGGGCTGTCGATGAAATCATCCGAGTACTCCCGTCCAGGGCTGCTGAACCGACTACTTCCTGGGCTCATATTTCCATCGGAACTTGAACTTGGAAATCCAGGGCTTGTTGCATTGGGTTCAGGGAAGCCTGTTTCATCACCGCTGTGGTCAGGGTCCTGGCTGAGCACGTTGGGTATGTGGACATGCACACTGCTCTCAGAAGACACGAGCCCCGGTTTTTTGCCCCGTTTTGGAACTGCGTTGGAAACGGTTTCACGAGCAGGGTGGTTACTTGAGCGTAGATGAAACTTTGTTATGACGGGGGAACTACTTTGCTGCTTCCTTCTGTGGTGCGTCACAGGATTTTCAACCCGAGGCGATTCTAAATCTAAACTGTTGATCAGCGTTTCCACATTTCCATCCAAACTATTGCCGGCATCACGTATCTCAGCCGCCCTGGGCGTGTGGTTTTGCCTCTCCTGCGCCTGTCTAGATTTCATCCTCCCACTTTTCTTGTTCTTACATTTCATCAGCTCAATTTGCTTTCTTCTATAGCGTTCTCGGCGCTCGTGGTTTATTAACATATCAGGGTTTGTCTTCTGCAGTCTCAGACGCAGTGTGTTTGTCAGTCCGTACATCAGTTTTCTCTTAGGTGCAGGAGAAGGGACCTTCTTTCGATCCTTTTCATGACTTGCATTTGTCTTTAGTGTTTTGCCGTTCTCCTTAGGGGAAATAGGTAGGGAGCCTGTTGTTTTTGCCTGCAATTTCCACTGCTTGAGCCCTGGACTCGTTGACCTTTTCCTTACTGGGGTCTGCGACGTGCTGGACGTGTACGCTGGTGATCCTGACCTCATCTCCTGCACAGCTCCATGGGATTGCTCCTCTGCAGACCTGTACAACCAGGCAAGACGGGGATGGACTGGTAACGGAGGCAGCTGAGGCTGACTGCTCAACAGAGAAAGTTCAAGAAGCAGGGCATTGAGCAAAGGCAGCTGTCTTAATGTGTCCCCCAGAGCTGCTGGTGCTGTCTGGCTTTGTTGTGCTGCTCCAGAGCGTTCTGATCCATCCCTGGTATGCTTCAAGGCCTGACCTTTTGCAGGCAGATCCCTTTCTTCTGCACATTCGTCCTCTTCAGAACAAAGCTCCTCCACCCCAAGAGCTTCAATCCCTACGCTGACTGACCTGTATCGATCAGCGTCCACTTCGTCTTGTTCTTTCACTGAGCACCTGTAGTACAAAGGTGGAGGGCAAAATACAGCAGTGTCTGTTGCATTATCAAGGCCTACATTCTTTCTTTGAGTTTCTATTTGCCTTCTCTTCACAAAGTCAGTCTGGGTCCCAGCTGAAGTAACATTCCTTTGTTTTGCATCTGGCTCTGATATTATCACCTGAGTGTGCTGTCCCTCCAACTCCATCTTCTGGAGAAGCACGCTGGACGAGTCGCCCGGAGCTACCGGTAAAGTCACCTGGATGCTGTCAGCCCCAGTTTCTAGGTCTCCTGAAGGTGTAACTGTATGATCTTTCACTTGACAAGACCCAGTTTTTAGAATCCTGTTTTCAGGAATATGCGGGATCAAGCTCGCCCCCAAACTTAAAAGTTTAAACCCCAGGGAAATACAGCCTACCCTGTCTCCCATCAAGTTGCTTACAGCAAAAACCCCTTTCTCTCCCTGGGCGGAAGGGGTGCAAATTCCGTGCTGCCTGACATCTGCCATCACTCTGTCGGCTGTTTTCGCCAGGGAGATCAAGGAGCTCCCAACTAACTTCGGCGCTTCCTTCGTCAAATCCAAAACCATCGCGTACAGCGGCGTGTTGGACAAATGGGTGTGTAGCGAATCCAGCCTGATTTTAAACAAGCACGACTTGCCTTTGTTAAAACGATATTCGCGGTTCCTCCCCCGCGGCGGGTGGAGAAATTGTGATGCCTCGTTTTCCTTTTCACTCCCGGAGTCGTCGTCCTGCTGCGCATCTTCCTCTCGGCCACCTGGGTAGATCATCAAGGTTGGGAAATCCAGTAAACGTATTGCTACAGCGGGATCCACGCTGCCTTGACTAACCCTGTCGAGGTTTACGTATTCAACCAAGACCTCGAATGAAAAGAGTGTTTCTAACTTGTCCGACTTGTTAGCCATTCGGATTAAAACAAGATACGAACTATCATACAGACCTGGTTGGTCCTAATGTGCTAAAATAAAAAAGTGCATTAGTGTCATTCCTAAAATCCGTGTCCAACTGAATGAAACAATTTCGTAAAAACAAAAAATAGTACCCTGCAGTCCACAGCACACGCAATCCGTTAAGTAGCTTGTGTAGCACCAAGGAAACAAACCCCGTCACATGTTTCATCGCGGAAATACACAAAGCTTTCTGGGAGTTGTAGTTTTTAAAAAAAAACGGAAAACGTATTCGTTGTTAATCGGAATGAGCAGATTACAATTAAAAATGTAGGTAGGAGTAAGGGGCTTGTATGTTTATATGTGAACGAAAGAAAAATAAGAAGGATTTGAGGATAACGTTTTTAAAGGTATTTCAATGTGTTATTTGGATAGCGAAGTGCTTCCACAAAACATTTTTAAATATGACAATAAATAAATTCTCTACTGTGACTTTGTGTTATTTCACAAATCGGAAAAAAAGATATGAATAAATCATTTATTCTTTTAAATGAGTTTGATTGTATATTATTTATGACAACGCATAGATTCTAGGTCCCATAGTTTGTGTCAATCCTTTGTCTTTATTATCTCTATAGGTACACAGCAGGTAAATACTGACATTCAACTTCACTCTTCTGTAATAAAAAAAAGTTATACGAAGATGCTTTAAAAATGAATTTAATAAACACGTACCTATATTTATGAATGTTAGAATTAAAGGCTTTCAGCTAGTTGTACGTCAGTGAATCCTACAGCAGTACAGTACTTAACACACTCCCTTAATCTCCCATTCCTACAGTACCTTCGAAATATTTACTTAACGTATTTCACAAAATGAATTAAAGTAGGTGTGTGTATTTTCATTAGGGGCTGGTTGCAACGTCTCTCGTGCAAAAAAAAAGAACATTGACTTTAGATTTAAATTGTTAATGTACCAGCTTTGCGTTCATTTCCCCTATTTTTTCTTTAACATTCCAGCTGGTGCCACTAGCACTCCACGTGATTAAAATTACATTTAGTTCAAATTATGACATGAGATTTACTTTATGGATCCATCTGATTTCGGATATATATCACAACAGTATTTGTGTTAAATTGCGTCTTTTTATTGCAGTCTTCAGAGCGTACTGGTGCTTAATGTGATGAATATAGTGATAACAAAAAAAAAGTATTGACACCGTTACTTTTTCAGGGTCGGAGCAGAATAACTATACACCCATATTCAATGCAGAATTATTCTTATTGTTAGGCGAGGAAAATGATTGGCATTAAGCCGGACACATAAAAAGAGGCTTTGTGGGCGGTGCCTTCGAGCCCTTGGCAAATCAGCATGCGACGGAGGCGGGGCACCGGTCGCTGGCGTCAGCGCCGCTGGAGAAAAGACTTCAGTTGGATGAAGTACTGAGACTGAGTGGGACTGTGGCTGCAGGACATCAGGCACACAGAACCGTCAATGGAACACGCCAGCGCCCAGAGGATAATAATTTGCACATAGACCTGTGATTTCATGGCATCATGGCATTGTCTTTGGACGCATTAGGAGGTAAGGCTGAGAACCCCGATTATCTGCTCCTGAAAGTGATCTTTAAAGCCGTGTTGCTGAAACCGAAATTGATGGAAAGTTTACCTGCGTTGCTGGGGTAATGGGACTTGCTTTGACAATCCCAGTGAAAGAGAGACACACGTTCACTTCGCAGTAATGGGGGTGATTTACTGTAGTTTATATATCAACCTAAAAATATGTCATTAACAATATCAATAACGATCATATTAGTAAGGAATGATAGTGAAGCAGATCGTTTGTATTTAGGAATTATTTATTCAAGAAATCCAGGTTTAACTGCTTTAGTTTGCTTTAGTTTTGCATGTGTAGCTCCTGGCACTAAGGACATATGTCATATATTTCCAGTTTTGACATATTACCCATTAACCCATTCACAGTCTGTAGATAACGCCGCACAGAAATACCTTTCTGGAGTTCGGACCTGCAACTTTTTTCGATTCGGGTAGCAATGTGTGCACTCCAACACTAGGTGTCTTTCTTCCATCACTCATACCAGTACTGTGGTGGTGGAACTGCACACAACAGACGCGAGTTCTACCAACATGAGCCCTACATCCAGCGAGTGATTGTCACGAATTATTACCAATACTTCGGGAAATCAGGCGCGGAACAGAACCACGTATCGATTTGAAAACAGAAGTTGTTTTTTAAATGTGTATATGTATTAAAGTGCTGTGTACACCTGTGCAGTTCTTTTTGTTGCGCTGAAAGTATTCATTTCATCGGTGTGTTCTGTCGTGGATCTCGCCCTGGGATATAAACAGCAGGAGACAGAACTCCCAGCTTGTTCCTGAGATTTGACTAAATTGATGGAGGTATTTAAATGATGTTTAAAACACAGCATTCTCACATTTGCAGTGGTCTGAGCTGTATTTTATTGTTCACGCTATCTGGTTTGCAGTGAGAATTAGATTTTTCTTTTTCTGTAAACTGCTATTGTAGACAGTACCGACATATCTGTATCCGAAACATCACTGAGCTATAGTAAGCCGTGTTTCCTTTTTTGAACCTTTGGATTGTGTAGTGTTTACTTGAGTTTTTCCGACTCAAAATTTGTCAGCTTTAAAAGTAGTGCAATCATGTATGTCTCTGTACACTCTGTCAGCTAAAATATTTTCCCCGCTTTGCGGCTCCGTAACGCAGCAACGAAAGGAAACTACAGCAGTTTTCACATTCGATTCTGTTATTTAAAACTTCTTTAGCGCACAAAACCAGTGTGTTTTGTAGTCGTGTTTATTTGTGAAATTGACAGGGAGGAAGGTATTACAGATAGTTTAACCAATACCAAAAAAATCTGACCTGCAACTAGCCCAATTTTTGGAGAATGATTCAAAACAGTTGTTTTGTAGTTAAATGCAAGGTGATAATAATATTTTAATATTGTTCATTTCTCTATGAAATTGCATTTCAGGAATCTGTATCATTGTGTTTTATTTAACGTTGGTTGAAAGGAATTATTTATGACTCGAATGCTTCTTTTAATAAACGTTTCTTAGAAATCAATTTATTACATTCTTTGTCCCCCAGAAAAATCGGTTCTGTGTAGTTAAGGTAATGCGAAATAACCGTGGGAACTCCCCGACTAACAGCTGGTAGGAATATCAGGTCGACGTTTGAGGTGCGACCTGTGCGGCGATACGTCATGCGTTTCAGCCCTTGTGCTTCGGTGCCTTTGAAGTTTAATTCCTGCCTCAGTTTCGATAACTTTTCCCCCAGCTGCAGCCGACTGCCTGCCTGCCCCGCACCTGTGACGTCATGCCCTTTATTAGACGCGCTCGGTTCGTTTCAATTAGTCTAGAGGTGCGACCGCCTAGAAGAATGTCTGCTCCGACACGTGAAACGTTGATAATGGGGGATGTGTACGAGGAGGGCCGTGGTGAAACTGTTAAAAAAAAAGTGTCGTGCTTTTTTTTTTAAACAATAATTTGTATTCGGTGTCTCAGTTTGAATGAAATTGTTGTGCGATGAGGCAGTTCTATAGGTGGCGGTGAAAGTGAAGTCTGGTGACAGAGCAGGCTCTGTCTCGGCTGCTGGCCGTATGTCTACCTCTGTTTATTTAATGATGCACCCCTTGAGATTTAGGAGGGACGGGTGTAGAGTTTAATCCATCCTGATTCCACTATTACTATTTCCTGTGCTCGATCTGCGCACAAATAAGCATCACATCAGTGGCATCTAGCCTACGTGAACTTGGCTCAACCACTTTGCCCTCCAGAGCTCTTGAGTTAAACCTAGCATTTTTATAGCAGGTGTGTTCAGCTCTGGTTCAACTCGAGTCTGGGTTGTCTCTGTGTTTCTTCCAGTATTAATTTCAGTTCAGCTCTTGGCAAGCTAAACCAGCAGATTACTGACATAACTGGAGACATTTAACTGGTTTAATTCAGTTAGCTCTCTGGTTGCTGCTGCCTTAAAGAGAACTTGACAACCTGTAGACAAGCCAGTCCTCTGGCACCAGGTGAATTATGTGACCATAAGGAATCTACACATAGAGCTCAACAGCTAAAATGTGATGGGTTGCATTGGAGCTGCAGAGCTGCTAAAGCCCTTGCAATGCTCAGTGCTGGCAAAATGTTAGCCAGGCTTCTGCAGTGTGAAGAGACAGCAACAGCATCCCAAACCACCAAGAAACAGGATGACCAGGACTGACTTAATACATGATAGGTTATGATTGTCCTCTCAAGGCAAACAGAAAAACTTTAACCTTTTCATTTCTTCATGCTTATCTGTATCCTGAAGCTCCTAAGATCTAGCAGTGTGAGTAATGGCACATGTGGAAAACGTGCCTCTAACTTTGATTTTCATCATGTGTCTTAACTAACTTAACTAACCCCCAATTCCTCCTTACCTGCATGCAGACGCCTTTACTTAATACCCTAAGGATCTTCATAGCACGATGAACAAGTTTTAATTTCTACTGCAGTTCACCAACAAGCCAGACAAAGGAAATCCAATTCAGCTTGCTTAAAAGCAATTGCTGGTTCCTGTTTTCACAAAGAATGATCTGAATATTTGAAGGATGAATATAATATGTACTGTAGTGACCTATTTAAAATAAGTTATTTTTCATATTCCAAGTAAATGAAAAGATGACAGGGTACAGAGGAGTTTATTGCCATATGTACACGTAGATTGGGATTCTTAATTGCTCTGAAGTCTCAGGACATGCATAGTTAAACAGACAACATCACACAATGTAGACAGTCAATTATAACCATAATAAGTAATAATAGGAATAATAACAGCAGGACAGAACAGGTATCTAAATATTCATTAAAAGTGAATGAACAACATAACTGATCACAGGATCATTACATTATTTTCAGATTTTGCATCATGCAAAGACTCTGAAACAATAATGGGTTTTAGAAACGAGGATAGTACCAATACAGACTTTAAGCAAGCTCTGCCAAAATGTCTTGATGTTCTGAAGTATGTTTAAAGGATAAGAAAGCCCATAAACTTCTCACGCTTGAAGTTGAAAATAGTGTCAGGGGATGTAAAGATCAATTCGCAAAGCTTCTTCACTAGCAGGAGAAGGGAAAGACTTTTTAAGCTCCTCTTGCTTCTGCTCTATTAATTATTAATATTCTAAAGGGTATAAGTTGAGCTAGCTGTAGCTGGCTGCCTCTTGTCTTTGTATAAATTCGTGTCGGAAGTGAGCACAAAGGAAACGAAAACTTAAACGATTACCGTGTAATCGCAGAGGTATCAGTTACTTGAGAGATGCCGTCTCTTGTCACCACACATCACGGTAGCAGTAACAATTTCCGCAAGTGGTCTGGACGTGCGCAACAGGAATCAATTCCCGATTGTACTGTGGGCTACGAGTCTGCAAATTTTTACACAATAGTACAAATTTGTGTAAATTTGCGTAAATTTGTTTTGATTGGTGGTGGTGGAGGGGAGTCCCCATTACCTGTAAAGCGCTTTGAGTGGAGTGTCCAGAAAAGCGCTATATAAGTGTAAGCAATTATTATTATTAATTACCGAGAGAAAGTTAATGACACCTTTGGAACGGTGGCTTGCAGTCGTAAACACAAAAAGAAAACCACCAAAAATATCTACGGGAACTTAAAAATAAATGCCAGTTCATCTCTCACTATCTGTTTAACTGAAAAGAAATAAGTTTCCTCTGCTGTCCAGAAAGCATAGCCCCCTCTGTGCTTTCAGAGTGGAAACAGATGCATCTTATCCAGTTTTATGGGAGCTGTAATGTGAGCCACCAAACAAACACGTTCTGGCATTTGGTGCCAGAAAACGGCTTCCCATCAGTGAGTAAAGAGTCCTTGGTGGTTTATTTGCAGTGCTTCACAATGAACCAGATTTTGATGAATATTTTCAAAACACCTGAATCTAAGTGGTGAAGGTTATTTCGAAGAGGATTGGCTGGTTTTGACAGCAAGCATTTGTTAAAATAACAGTCTAGGGGCCTGTTTCATAATTTGTAACTCATGCCTTCTAAACCATGCAGAAGGCTGGATCTATCTTTCAGTGCCCAGCATGTATATTATTGTACATGGTATTTATTTTTCCTTTAATGATAGCTAGTAATTTAGCACCATTTTGTCTTTGTGCACACAGCCCTTGCACTTAACCCTTAGTCTAAGAACCTACACTTAAAATTAGCAAGTACACAGTGAGACTAGGATTAGTCATTTTTCTAGGCTTGTTTACTCAATAATATCCCTTACAATCAGGAAAGAACAGAAATATACACTAGCATCAAACTTTTCTCATAATATCCTTTGCATTTGACACCCTCAGATGGTAAAATCAATATTCTTTCTACTAAATTGTACCCTGGGAGACTAAGGCCTTTTTTGTATGGACAGATAATGCCTTTTATCTGAGTATGGAAAACACCTGTCAGTATAGTACAAATTCTACGGTATCCTCATGGAGCCCTAGGTTATTCTGATAGGTGAGCATCCTTTAGAGTGGCTTTTTGCTGTGTTTTTATAGTATAGGGACCAGGCACA